AATACCTGATAATAAAATTCGTATGTGCTTTGTAGGTGCGTTTTTTCCTTAAAGGAGGATTGCACGGAAAGAACGAAGGTCGAAGAAGGGAGAAATCGCCTAGTGGGGAGAGCGGTGAATCTCTTGAGGGTGCGGACAGACACGCAATCGGCATCGAAAGATTTGACCTCTGAGATCTAGCATGGCTCAAAGTTGGCGAGTTCGGCGATCTCCGCCCACCGATCGTCTGATCACTCGCCGTAGTACAATAGGTGGCGAGTGATTAGATAGCTGAGAGAGCGTAGGGTTGAAGAGGGCAAAGCGATGAGAGTCCCATCAATGCTCAAATCAACGGACAAGGAAGGGGTCCCATTTCTCCGGTTCTGGGCCGTTTTTCGTGGTTTCGCTTTCTTTCTGGTACTACTCACCATCTCTACCTCAATTTGGAATGGGTTGCTTTTCCATCGTAAATTCGTCCTTTAAGCATCGTTTTACGTTGTTTTGAGTTTAACCTATGAAGTTATTACGAACTACTGCTACGCTGCCCACTCATATTTGAGGCTCGTTACGTGGATAATGTTCCTATCCAATTTGAGTAGTACAAGATTCCAGGATGTAAGCGCGGCTTCGAGTCCCATTCGAATTTTGCTCCCATTCTAGGGATGGTGATGTGTGACAAGGGTTGTAGTAATTGGCTTTTGTTGACGAACTTGTGCGGATCCAGCGAAGCGCTGGTGCGAATTCGAGGGGTACGATGACGAACCAGCGGTTCGAACATGGATCATGACTGAAAGTGTGTTGTGTGGGGGAGCCTTCTCGTTCGACGTTACCTGTCTCGCCATTTCCCGCTCTCATTCCCTCTCACTCTCTCATGCCCTCGTGAGCCCGGGAAAGTGGCGAGAGCCAACGTTCAAAGGAGTCCCGCCACTTTCAAACAGTGTCGAGTCGCTGGTACATCGTTCGACCGCTGGTACACAGCTCGATTCGCTGGTGCAACGCTCGTATCCGCGATTCGCTGGATTCGCAAAGTCTGACACCGATCTTATGCTCGTGAGCCCAGGAAGTGGTGAAAGTGATCGTGCGAACCAAACGAGCTCCCGCCACTTTCGAACACTGTCAGTTCCCTAGTAGATCGTTCGGACCGTTTAGGAGATCAACTTTCCCCCAACTCAGCATCCCTCGTGCCCCGCGATTCACCAACTATTAGCTGGTATCGCAAAGTCTGACATCTGCCTATGCGATGACTCGATGATTGAATATGATAATGTGCGCTTGTCTTTTGATTGTCCTGACGCAGATGCGACGTAGTAGTAGCTCGATTAGCTAACCAAGGAATGGCTCTAACATAGTTTTGGGGCGCCACGCACTCTTTTGGGAGAACATTTTTACACAAGTGAAGACTACCGGACCCCGCTATAGTAGTTTGATCCAACACGGGATAAGGGAACATGAATACCATCTACTTGATGGTATTCATGTTCCCTTATCTATCTGATGGGATTACCTACCTTCTTTTCATCCCAATTCATGTGGTAAAGTGGGCGCCATGCTTCTAAATCGATCACAGCGATTCCATGAAAGTTTGGATCCGGAATATCAGCTTGGATTTGCTGAGCGACTGCATCCAAATGAGCTTGAAGTGAAATATTCTGCAAAGTTGCGGTGGTAAGAACGCATCGCATACTTGAATTTTCTGCATACCTGAGGTAAACCTCCATTGATTGGTTGGCTGGAGTCATAATCCTTATAGTACGGGTACAACGCAAATTTTGATTCGTAGAAAACAACTACCTTTTCACCGAAAAACTCCTGGTCTGGAAAAAAAGCTAAGACGTACATAATATTAGAGGCATCAATTTTGATCTGGCTATTACATACAGGCCATATCTAGGTAATTTATCACAAGGGGATTGAGTTGCTCCCAGGGCGCACCTTGTCAACTGGAACCGAAGTCGGACTCATAATTTCCTTGGACTGTCTTATTTGCTTGAATGGTACTATTTGTCTATATCCAGCACTTCCGCACGGTGCACTGCAGCAATAAAAAGGGTCCAGTAGAACCCCCTCATGAAAACACAAAGACGACCCCACCCCTTTACTCGAATTTGCCAATATGGAACAGACGGGTGACTTGGCTGGACCTGCTCAAAGCATTACGCTGTTGCTCTTGAAAAGAGCCACTAAAAGTTTAGGCCATAGCATCACTTACTTCACCTCATGTTACCTTTATTGTGGGTGATTCTGAATTCGTCGAGAGGTATTTCGACTTGCTCATTCACACATGTGCGACTCGCCACGTTCCAGAACACCTTCAAACACTGGCCCTGAGAACCGTAACCGTGAACCTTTCAAGAACAGCTAACCTTGTAAAAACCTTGTACGATAGGGACCATTAGAAGAACAGGAAGGGTAGGTAGTGCATGGTCAACGTGATATACTGAAACAGTTAATCG